AATCCTGTCACTCACCAAGTGTTACGATCTCCCACAGCAAAACTCCAAAAGACCACACGTCACTCTCTGTTGTGTACACGTCATCGAGTAGAGATTCCAGTGCCATCCATCGCATAGGGAGTGGACCCTAAAATTGAACGTGAAAATTATTTATCCCCCAGGAATTTATTTAATCCAGTCGTATTTTTCAGGAGAAAAAACTTCCACTGATGTGAAGCATTATTACAATTGACAAGATCTCATTAGCTTTTTAAGTTTCTAATAAAGAAATGAAAGTCAAGCATAAAACAGAAAAGTGTGATCTTGTATATAGGTACCTGTGACTCTCGTTGGTAGATGCGAGTGTTCATGACGTCACGAGCTAGTCCAAAGTCAGACACCTTACAGACCAAGTCATCGCTCACCAGCACGTTACGGGCAGCTAGGTCACGATGCACACACTAAAATTAATGTCCGAAAAAAGAGACCTCAATGCCATCCAAATAAATATCACATAATATCATCCAAATATCTCACTAAAATCTCACTTGTCCAACAACAATAAATCTAAAGTGAACTTGCTTTACAATGCAAAACCTCAGAGAGTCGTTTCCGTCTCGGAACAGGCGATAGGACTACACCCCGGTGATTTGATTCTCGATGGTTGATGTTAGAATTGTGAAAATAAAAATCCTTCTACTGAAAAAAAATATCAAATATGAAAAAAATCTGCACCGCCGGGTTAGTAGTCAGTGTGCACTTACACAAAGAACCGATGATGATTCAGTTCAAAAACTGTACATAAACAACCGTTCTGTCAACGCTTTACCTGTTGTGATGACAAGAAGGCCATTCCGCTTGCTACATCCCTGGCAAATTTGACCAGGGTGCGTGAAAGAGATTTGTTCAGGCCAGGTATGTTGGAGTAACCTGCACCTGGGTCCTTGTCTCGGTACCCCAACAGCACCTTCTTGAGGTCACCCTTGGCAAGGTATTCGACGATGATGTAAACGGGATCTGCTTGCAAGAAAGCAAGATGGATGGAAACATGCACTGTTTGTAAGGATCAAATTCTATTCGTCAAGTCTAATGATTTCATAACTCTTTGTAGCTTGAGCTGTTACCTGAAGCTTGGGAATTTTAAAGAGGTTTGTATGGAAATTGGAGGCCTTAGGTCTTCTGTTGTTTTGTTTTCAGATAGTTGGGCTGCGGGGTCATCCATGAGGTACTTAATAATTATGACTTGGGAGGGGTATATAGGCAGGGACATTACGTACACCTTGCGTACAGGATGGGAAGGGCCCAAAGCATTGCTTACGGAGAGGGAGCAGTAATTAGCTCTTAGTAAATTGAAATTAAGCTAGTACAATATCTTTTCGTTATCAACACTTGGGCCAGCTTGTTTACATCAATATTCGTTATAAAATCACCTTTCGTCCTGACTATTTGGATTTCACCATTACAACTGCTGGCGATCTGACAAGACAAACAGTAACTACTGGCGTAGTTGGGTACATTTTGCGGGGCGGGGGTAGTTTTCCCGAGTCTAGTCGTACACAATGAGTTCAGTCACATTCAAAATAGTAACAAGGCGAACTATTACCAGATCATGACTCCCATATGCCCCTTGTTGTGCTTAGTTACGTGGAATGGGTAAACATACGTACAGTGGAGGAACCACTTGTGTATGCCATGCCAACTTGGGGAAGGGGTGTCTGAAAAGTCAGCATGATTTTGCGTGAAGCACTTTATGGACGGCCTTATAGACTTGAGTTTCAACTGTAACCTGATTCTGTGCAGTGTCCCAGTAGCTTGACAACATTTGGATGAGAACCAACTGTCTTCATTAACTTTAACTCGGACAGCAACTCCATCTTGGCCTGTCTGTCAGCACCGTCTACAAGTATGGAAAAAACCGCAAAATGTTTGTTTCTTATTTTGCATTCCAGCAAGAAATATTGCACCAGAATCACTCGGGTGACTGACTATATGACATAAGTATTATGCCAGTTATAAGTTCTATATAGTTCCTGAGAGGGAATATTCTGAAAATTTAAATAACAAGAATAAAGCCACATTAGGTCACCTATCCGATCAAAATGTCACAAGTTTCAAGATTACTGAAACCTAATTGACCACTACCAATCTCTTCATGATTCGTTACCAGACACACCAATTTAGAAATAAAACCATAAACTTAAAGGGTACATTATTTTCACCATAGAATCTGATCTGATAATTCTCTTTACCTTTGAGGGTTTTGATGGCAACTCTGGTCCGTTTGCCAGCTTCCTCGATCCCAAGAGCCGTACCGAGAAGGACTTTG